AAACCACATGGACTCTGTTGATTTCAAACTAAATTTTGCTGAAATCCATTTAAACCACATGGACTCTGTTGATTTCAAACTAAATTTTGCTGAAATCCATTTAAACCACATGGACTCTGTTGATTTCAAACTAAATTTTGCTGAAATCCATTTAAACCACATGGACTCGGTTGATTTCAAACTAAATCTTGATGAAAACTATTTAAACCACATGGACTCAATTGATTTCAAATTCACACGCGCTGGCTCCCCCAGTAGATCAGCGATAACTCTGAAGGTTTATAACGCTAAAAACCGGGTTTCGATACCCGTGGTGGGCACAGTACAGATAGCTCATTGTGCAACTTGGTGATTAACAACAAACGTACAAAGCTGACACCCAGCGGAGCTCACTTGATTTCACATTACAAAACTACGTTTCCTCATTAACATGACACTATTGGACAAAAACTGATTCAGACGCTGTTTCTACTACTGGTAGAAATAAATTGGGCCACGTGAATGTAACTACGAGATTGATCCTATTGACAGTACGGCAAACCAGGCATTTTATTTAACTACTGGGTTAAGAGAAGAGGAAGTGTGATGAAACAATCAATAATGTAACTATGTACTGGATTTGTTAAACGTGAAACAATCAATAATGTAACTATGAACTGGATTGGTTGAACATGAAACAATCAATAATGTAACTATGTACTGGATTTGTTAAACGGGAAACAATCAATAATGTAACTATGAACTGGATTGGTTAAACGTGAAACAATCAATAATGTAACTGTGTACTGGATTAATTAAACGTAAAACAATCAATATTGTAACTATGTACTGGATTGGTTAAACGTGAAACAATCAATAATGTAATTATGAACTGGATTGGTTGAACATGAAACAATCAATAATGTAACTATGTACTGGATTGGTTAAAAGTAAAACAATCAATAATGTAACTATGAACTGGATTGGTTAAACGTGAAACAATCAATAATATATCTTTGTACTGGATTGGTGGAACGTGAAACAATCAATAATGTAACTATGTACTGGATTGGTGGAACGTGAAACAATCAATAATGTAACTATGTATTGGATTGGTTAAACGTGAAACAATCAATAATGTAACTATGTACTGGATTGGTTAAACGTGAAACAATCAATAATGTAACTATGTACTGGATTGGTTAAACGTGAAGCAATCAATAATGTAACTATGAACTGGATTGGTTAAACGTAAAACAATCAATAATGTAACTATGTATTTGATTGGTTAAACGTGAAACAATCAATAATGTAACTATGTACTGGATTGGTGGAACATGAAACAATCAATAATGTAACTATGTACTGGATTGGTTAAACGTGAAACAATCAATAATGTAATTATGAACTGGATTGGTTAAACGTGAAACAATCAATAATATATCTATGTACTGGGTTGGTTAAACGTAAAACAATCAATAACGTAACTATGTATTGGATTGGTTAAACGTGGAACAATCAATAATGTAACTATGTACTGGATTGGTGGAATGTGAAACAATCAATAATGTAACTATGTACTGGATTAGTTGAACGTGAAACAATCCATAATGTAACTATGTACTGGATTGGTTGAACGTGAAACAATCAATAATGTAACTATGAACAGGGTTGGGCCAAGTAGGACTAAAACCAGTATATATCTTCCGAGTTGAGTGAAGAAACAAACCCAGGATGTAATTTCTAGATTGAATGCAGAAGCAAAGTAATTGAGAAGAGTTACGAAAATAAGGTAATTCTGATCTGAGTCAAGAGAAGTATAAAGAATGATTGGATCTTCAGGAGACATC